TAACATTTAATCTTAATTTTTTGGCCTAAAAAAATTTTAGAAGAAACGTGTTTCAACTTGGGAATACTATTTATTTGCTTTATTTCTTAAAAAATAATTTTAAAATTATATTATTTTTAATAAGTTTTTATTTAAAAAATTAAAATATTAAATTAAATTTATTAAAAATCAACTGAAGAATAATATTAGTTATTTTTAGCAGACACAGTCAAAAGACATCTTGATTTTTCGTTTTTCTTAAATCGAAATCCCAAAAAATACAAGGGTTCTACATGTAATTTCACACAAACGATTTGGAAAAACAACGAATTTTGGCGCGGCCTTTTTTTCGTCCCCGATTGGCGCGGCTTTAAAACAGAGGAAATAATCAAAACTTCGAAACTCAAATCGTTTAGATTAATTTGTAGATTCATCTCTTCCCGCTAAATTCAAAAACTTGAAAAACAAAAAACTGAAAATCCATTTTTTCAGTTCCCGGCTTATCTTCCCACCTCGCCAAACCTGATTTCTTTGTTAAACTCCAGAACCCCCAAAATTTCAGGGTTTACAAACCCAAACCAAATCTAAATCCCTCTTCAATTCTCTTTCCAAAGCAGCATTGCCATGGACGCTGATTTTCAGGATCTGCCTCCTCTCAAAAGATTCAGACTTTTGCAACAGAGGCAAGAATCCGATGCCACTGGTTCTGTCTCTTCATGTCTCCCGGCGAAGAAGCGAAAGGAGTCCAGGGATCTTCCTGTTCCAGATGCTGCTGTCAGAACGTATTGCTTGCCGGCCAAGAAGAGGGTATGGGCTATACAACCGGATTGGATTTCGGGGAAGCCTCTTTCGCCTTTGGATCTGAATGTTGAGTACAAGGAGGAAGAAGAGGAGGAGAAGAGGAAAATTCCACCTCCAATGAGTACAAAAGAAGGGATTGGAAGCAACGGAGGAGATGATAAGCAAAATGAATCGTCGCTTGTGAGTGAAAAGAATCCATCTATTGGAGAAGGCAATCAGGAGGAGGAAGAAATTGGTGAAAAGGAAAGCAAGGAAACCCCAATTTTAAGAGATTCTGAAGCTGACCAAGAAAGTAAATTCGGGCTTGTGAAAGAACAGGATGCATCAATCGACGCCGGTAATGGGGAAGATGAAGAAGAAGAAGAGGATGATGGGATTATTTGTGCTATTTGTCAAAGTACAGATGGGGACCCGTCAGATCCAATAGTGTTCTGTGATGGCTGCGATCTGATGGTTCACGCCACATGCTATGGCAATCCACTGGTAAGAACTATCCCAGAAGGGGAATGGTTCTGTGCTCAATGCTTGGCTTCCAAATCCTCTCCAGTTGAGAAGAAAAAGAGGACTTTTTCTTGCTGCCTGTGCCCGAACAGCAGTGGTGCAATGAAGCCCACCAACGATGCTCAGTGGGCTCATGTTCTTTGTGCTGTGTATGTGCCAGAGGTGTTCTTTCGGGACCCAGAAGGGAGAGAGGGCATTGATTGCTCTAAGGTTCCAAAGAGGAGGTGGGCAGATAAATGCTACATTTGCAAGAATAGAAGTGGGTGTGTTATTGAGTGCTCTGAGCCTAAATGTCCCCTGTGGTTCCATGTTACTTGTGGACTGAACAATGATCTTTCCTTCGAGTATAGAGAAGGAAAGAAGGGAGCTGTTGTTGCTGGGTTCTGCCAAAGCCACACTGAACTCTGGAAAAAGGTATTTCTTCTTCCCCCTTTTCTGCTTTTGATTCACATGATTGATTTTCTTCATATATTAGAGGCTCTCATATCTGTTGTTGCTAATGACTTCTTTATTGGTTTTGCAGCAACAACAGACAGGAAAATTCAAGATCGTAGCTCGAGATGAGAACAGAAAGTAACCAAATAGGGTGCTAACCAAATGTTGTTGCACGGTACTAGTTCACCTGCTTGTTGAAACTTTTGAACGCGTTTTACTGTTCCTAATTAATCGATTTCACCTCATGTTTGGTTAGTCATTCTTGATATTCTACTTTGGATAATTTTGGTGGCTTTTCTAATTGAAGTTGTTTTCATTCAGTAGTTTGTTCACATGATGTTATTTACTCAAGTATTGTATGAATAGTTGAAGAAATATGAGTCTGGTGTGCTACTTCTATAGGGGTAAACTAAGATTAGATACATATTGAAGGAATTTTGCCTACTTCCCTTGAACATTCATTTTGGTGTACCAGAATGGTTGATTAATGCATGGAAGGGCAAAAACAATGTGTCTTTTGTGCTAGAAAAACAAAAAAACAAATCTTTGTGATCAAGAGTTTGAATGAAAGGTTCTAGTTTTGGTAATGATATACGAGTTTTATGTTTTTCAGTCTGAATTATAATTTTAACATGCAATTTGAACATTGAAATTATTCAATAACCATTAATAATTGAACATAAAAAGAGTTATTAAGAGTTTTCTAATAATTTCAGTGTTCAAATTGCACTTTTAATGTGCAATTTGTCCTGAAAATTACGTTTTTGATGGCATACTATCATTCCAACAAAACACAGGAAATTAACCATATGAGTAATAATTTCACCTAGTCATCATTTTCCTCACCATACGTTGGAGAAGTTTAATAGGCATTGCGTACCAAATCACTTGTAGAACTCCATGACTGCAACCGAGTTATAAGCAAACGAAACGACCTGAAAACCTGAAAACCCAGCTGCCTTGCCCAAGGCCTTGAACTCTCTCTCAGTTCTTTCCCTGCCTCCATGATGCATAAACATTATGATATCAACATGGGCCACATGCTTAGCACAGCTGCTTGACTCTGCTGTCTCAGTAATCATAAAGCTTATAACAATGAGCTTCCCTTGGCTCGGCAATGCGTCGTAGCAATTTTGAAGGACTTTCACACATAGTTCATCGTTCCAATTGTGAAGGACATCCTGTGTTTGGATATATGATATACCCACAAGCAAAAATGCACAAAATAAATCCCTAAATCGTATTTCATTTTTGGGAAAAATCTACCCCTAATGTAGTTCTGGAACACACCTTCATCATAAGAGTATCTGCAGCCTTTGGGATGCTTACGAACATATCTCCGGCAACATGTTCAACACCTGCAGATATAATTTCACCAAAGCACCAAACTAATGTTAAAAATATAGGTCGTTAAAAAATTTTTTTTTTTTTGTTTGTTTGAACAGTTAAGATGTATTTGAGCCATTGAGACACTTGTCTATCTAACCCTTGGGTGTGTTTGGCTAGGGAGAAAAGTTTCTCCACAACTTTCCTTCTTATTTAGGTTCTTTAGGGTATTTGTGCATTTTCAAACCTTGATTTTTGGTATATTTGATAATGATGGGGTATACAAGAGAGATAATTTTTTTTTTTTTTAAATTTCTCCTCACTTAATTCTAGGTTTGAACTTAAAATTTTTAATTTAGAATTTTAAAATTTTAACCATTGAACCACTTAAAGATATTTTCAGAATTTGGTACCACTACAAAAAAATGGTATAAAGTGACAACTTCCCAACACAATTTCCTATGTGTGATGCACATGATAACTTTTTTATGTCAATTTTTTTATTGAACATAGAAAATTTATGCTTTGTTTACCATGGTTATGGTTTTTTAGATTTTTTGTTTTGATTTTTATAAATTTTGAAACTATTGAAAACCAATACTAGAAGTCAAAAACTGAAAATTTGTTTAAGAAGAGTTTTAACACTAACAACAAAAAACATAAACTTGATTAATAGTAGTATTCAGATTAGTTTTATTCTTATTTTTCTAATGATATATGATAATATATTGCAAAAACACATAAAAGTAAACAAATTTTTTATTTAAAGTTGCAAAATTTATAAAATGTAAAACCAAAAATCCAAATTACAAGTGTACTAAGCAGAGTCTTTGTAACTCAAAAAGATTATGACAATATTTCATTACAAAATTTATTAATATTATATACAATACTTTCTCAACCAATGCTTTATTAAAAATTTTTCAATAAAATTAGTATCTTTAACTAAACATGCCGTTCAGGTTTTCTTTAAAAAAAACTAATTAATAAAATCCAATTACCAGGATAAGATGGGACATTCTGTATGACATGAGGCTGGTCAAAATTTATGCCCTTGATGGACGGGTATTTTGACACGATCATGTCAATGATAGCTCCGCTTCCACCTCCAACATCGAGTAAAGATGTTACTCCTTCAAATCCTCTGTATATTTCAAGGATTTTCTTCATGGGTCTTTTGGAATAATTAGTTAATGTCTTGTTGAATCCTTCGTTGTACTCTGGATCTCTACTTACGTACTCGTACAAGGTCATCCCATGTACTCTTTCAAACAGATTGCCTCCTCCTTCAAGGATGAAATCTTTCAAGTATAGCCTACAAATTAAAATAGAAAAAAAATTAAAAAAACAGTTTACATTTTACAATTTGACATTGGTAGATTGTAAACCTATAGATTTACAAATTATAATTTGTAAAAAATTTAAAACAATTCTTTTTTTGAAATAATTTAGTGTAAAGTAGACTGCAAAAGTATATATTTTTTTCATTAGCCATCAAAAAGAAAATGTGTTTAATTGGGATATTTTGCAAGGAAGAATTTAGCTAGTTGTAAATCAAAAGAAAATCAATTTGCTTACAAGGGCTCTATCATTCCTAAATTGGATGGAAATGCGGACAAGGCAGCCCCATCTTCATCGGGAACAAAGGCTTTGGCTGGGGGAGCAAGTCCATAAAGCCTCTCAACCTTCCCATCTTCTTCTTCTCCAGTGGATCTCGAAGAGCACGTGAGAACAGAGTAGCAAGCAAGGAGCCGCAGCATGCGATCGAGATAAAAAGGTGCATCTGGGTTCTTTGTGGGGAGCTGAGCAGCAATTTCAGATGCCGAGAGCTCTGCTCCAGGGCCTGCTCGAGCTATGATATTGAAGATGTCGAGGTGGATGGACGCATGAAGGACAGGTGCTAAGGTACCGGAGCTGTTTAGACTCCGGGCATACTCAAACGCCGCATCCTCCTCAGCCATGGTGGCCTGTAGCAACTCGTGAAGTGATCCTTCCGTGCACAACCTTCCTTCTATTCTTTAGGCGTGGTAAAGTTTTCTGTTTTAGATCGGGTTAATGCCATCTATCGTCCCTCTACTATCAAAAATAGTGCAATCTAAACCTTCTACTATGGATTGGTTCCATGTCATCCCTCTATTATCAATTAACTCCACCTGTCGTCCTCTACAATGCTAAAACATATTAATGTCGTCCCTCCGTTCAATGCAAGTTAACGGTAGTGTTTATTGATCATTAAGTGTAGTGATCACACCAGTTAAGCCTTTTTAAAATTTTTTTGTCACCTTACCTTTTAGGCTCCACCCTCGCCACATTTTCTCCAACTGATAAGAGGCTTTTTCATTAGACGAAGTAACTATTTGTTGCATTGATGGGACGACCATAATCTAGTCATTTAGTTGGAAAAAATCATTTATAAACAATTCTTTAAGAGTTTTTTCTTTTGCATTAAAGATTTTGTTACAGTTAAAATCGTTAATAACTTAATATTGTTGAGCTTACAGTAATTAATAATTTTGTTAAGATTGTTAACTTTTTTTTAATAATTTTATAATTTATAATTTTTTATTAGTTAATTATAATATTTAAAAATACTTATTTAACCCAATCCATAGGAGAAGGTTTAGATTGCATTATTTTTTATAGTAGAGGGACGATAGATGTCATTAACCCGTTTTAGATCCTTTATATCCGGAACAGCTATTAATTATTTGACATTTTTCATTTTAATAGTAGGTGCTTCTTTGTACAGCGGTTTCGGTGGTCGTGAGTGGCTGTGTACAACTTACTCCTTGTTTATTAAATTTGTTTATTTTAAAATGGTTACAAATTAACTATTTAATAAAATTTTTTATTCAATGATTTAGAATTGATGAATAATAATTCAGATTTAATTTATTGGTACATTGAAAAAACTACATTAAAAAATTAGATTGTAAAACTGCAAATCTACAAATTATAAAGCACAAAAA